TGCGAGCCTAGATGAGCTACTCTGAACCGCCGAAGTGGCTAAAGTTCATCCGCGTTGTCTTGTGTCTGTTTCACCTGTAAAACAATATTCGACTGCGTGAGTATACCATGGTGTGCTCATTCGTAAGCCATGAAAGCTTAGCTGTGAACAAGAAGAGAGGTAAACGCTGGACGGAGAACACGGACAGGGATGCAGGCTGGAGAGTGCCGTGAATCCAGGTAAGTGCTGCCGTGGGGATGAAACGCCTAGAAGTGATGGGTGCTTAGAGGGAGGTAAAGTCTAGTTCCAGAATGCTCTTGAGGATATGGTGACCATGAAGTCAACAGGGATTCGCACAGCATGGCAAGTCTGAGAGGCTGGAGTTGAGAGAAAAAAAAAGAGGCGGGGCAGAGCTGGACGCGGGGCGGAGCAGAGCAGGAGGTAGGGTGTGTCTGTGTCTAAGCCGGGGCTGAGAGCGGATGAGAGTAGTGGGCGGGAGCTGGCTCAGGGCAATACTGACACAGCTCTATCTTTCCGCGCGGCCACCAGGTGCGGAGAAAGAGGGAATCGGCCCCTCGAGGACTGCGGAAAGAGAAGAGGGAGAAGCCCGGAAAGGGGGACAGACAGCCCAACCGGTCTCAGCTGGGGGGGGGGGGAGAAGGTCACAAGACAGCTGCACACTTCTCGCTGGAGCATGGCTGCAGAAGGGCTAATGTTCGCCAGCCCGGGTGTTCCTCTGGCTGGATGACAGCCACCAAAAGCTCATGGCTCCTCCCAGACAATAGGAAGGCTTGTTTTCCAAAGTTGCCTTCTGTCCCGCCATCTTCTAGTCACAGTCAGAGGAAACCAGCGCCGACTTGGCTCAGACAGAGCCCCCATCTCCGAAAGCTATCTGGAAGGAAAAAAAGAAAAAAAACAGATGTGAAGGCAGCCACTTCAGAACCTAGAAAAGCTGCAAGAGAGGCCTGGGCCTGCGCCTGCCATTGTTCTTCTGACATAATGGGTGTAGAAAGGAGAAAGCCCATCCCAGGCCCGGCCTGTTTTTCTGTAGTCTGAAGCAATGTTTGCTTCTGAATTTTCCCAGTTAGCTCAACTCAGTTATGCCTCTTCAATCAAGAAAGGGCAGGATGAAGGGGGGGTCGTTAGACACAGCCATGCAATATTTTCTGTGGCTGACCTGTAAGAGCACACTGCTGCTCTCACACCCCAAGGGCCCAGGGCCTACTAGACTGGTGCTTTCTCAGCCCCTAGCCTGAGGCCCTTGGGCCCAAGAGGAGCTGGGTGGGAGTGCGGGCATGGACCATTACTCAGTGGAAGGACGGGATGCTAGAGATGGCTAGCTGCAGTGTCTCCAGAGGCTTCCTTTGTGTGCTTCTGTGTAGCTTCATGGGAAGAGGGGGGCTATCTGCTGGCTGCCCTCACATGAATAAAGGAACACAGCCTCCTATTTCCAAGGGAGGTGGGGGCAGTGATTTGCATTTTTCTGAGGCTCCACCATCCACAGGCCACCTGGCTAAGGACGGAACCATGGACTCCACTCTGAAGGGGCTCTTCCACGGAGCCACAGGTAGAAGACTGGAATATAGCTTTGTTGGCTAGGTTTTATGTTTTTGTTTGTTTGTCAACGCGGCATAAGCTAGGGTCATCTGGGGGAAGAGGGAACGGACCTGCAGGCAAGCCTGTGGGGCGTTTTCCTGAGTGATCACTGGTGTAGGAGAGCCCAGCCCACTGCGGTGCCACCCCTCAGCGGGTTCTATAAGACAGCAGGCAGAGCTAGCTAGGGAGAGCCAGGGAGAGCAGCCATAAGCAGCACTCCTCCATTGCCTCTGCTTCAGCTCCTGACTTCAGGTTCCTACTAAATTCCTGCCCTGACTTCCCCTCATGATAGGCTACAGGCTATAAGATGAAGTAAACCCTTTCCTCCCCAAACTGCTTTTGGCTGTAGGGTTTATCACAGCAATAGAAGCAAAAGAGGGCAGTACCCAGCAAGCTGGGGAAGGTGACAATAACTTCTAAGGCGAGGGAGAGCTCCACGATTTATCTTGCCACACTCTCAGCCAAGAGCTGGCCACCAAACAAGCCTTTTCTGGGGCAGAAGTAACCATGACAGGAAACAAATCCCATCCTGTTAAAGGGGCTGGGCTCGGGGCTCAAAACTGTGGATATAAAAAAAAATCTCTCCAGATTTACTGCTTAGGTTACAGGGGTTGCTGACAGAAGAGACCCAAAATAAAAGGGCTCCAAAAATATGGATTTTTATTTATTTTTATTTATTTTGTATATAGTGTTCTGCCTGCATGTATCCCTGCAGTTGCTGGGAATTGAACTCAGGTCATCTGGAAGTGCAGCCAATGCTCTTAACCTCCAAGCCATCTCTCCAGCCCTGGATTTATGTTTTTAAAAATATATTTATTCTTGCCAAGCAGTGGTGGTGCACGCCATTAGTCCCAGCACTTGGGAGGCAGAGGCAGAGGCAGGCAGATCTCTGTGAGTTCCAGGCCAGCCTGGTCTATAAAGCGAGTCCAGGACAGCCAGGGCTGTTACACAGAGAAACCCTGTTTCGAAAAAAACAAAATATGTACATACATATATATACATATATATATGTGTGTGTGTGTAGATATAGATGCATATAGACAGATATATATAGTGTATTGCTTTATCTACACATACATATGTGCACTACATGTATGCCTCATGCCCAGGGAGGCCAGGAGAGGGCATCAGAACTTCTCACTGTAGCATGGCAGCAGAAGGGTTAATGTCCACCAGCCTGCACGTTCTTCCGGCTTAATGAGAATGGCTACCAAAAGCTCATGGCTTCTCCCTGGGCCCACAACTGGTGCCAGGAAAAGACAGTATGGAGGTTTGCTTTCTAAAATTGCCTTCTGTCCCGCCATCTTCTTCCAGTCACAGTCGCAGGAAGCCAGCGCCATCTTGGCTCTGACAGAGTCTCCATCTAAGAAAAGCTTGGAAGAAAGAGATGTGACCTGAAAGGCGGGTACTGGAAGCCAAACCCCAGCTCTCTGTAAGAGCTGCAAATGCTGTTAGCCACTGAGCCATCTTCCCAGCTCTAAGTGGATTGTTTTTCCTCTGTGCAAGAGTCCAGGAATGAACAGTTTAGGGCCAGAATAGAACCCAGGGCTCGGCAGCTTCTAACTGTCTTGCTACAGTACCATCCCTTTGACTGTGTCGTCACGTATATGATCCAAGATATGACCTCACATGTATGGCCTGACACAGGCTTGCAACCTGTGCGGAGTGGGAGAAAGAGGGCCAGGAGAGGCCGAACCCTCCTTTTAAGGGCACACTCTGTAAGTGGCGCACATGGCTTTGAGCACACCCTATTATTGATTGGAAATTTTAGGCTCATGCATTAGCTGCAAGGGAGTCTGGGAAATATAGGGGCTTTTGTTGTTGTTTTCCCCCCCAAGAAGCCATGTATCCAGAAGAAACCTTTGTTAAAATTTTGTTTTGTAATTATGTGTATGTGTAGTGCCTGTGTGTGAGTATGTGCACATGAATGCAGGTACCCAGAGACGTCACGTGTCAGAGCCCCTTGGAGCTGGAGTTACAGGTGGTATGAGCCACCTAATATAGTTACGAGAAACCAAACTCCAGTCCTTTATAAGAGCAATATGTGCTGTTAACCGCTGAACCATCTCTCCAGCTTTCTGATCTATCAGAGAAAAGGTAACATTGTTATGAGGGTCAACCAACAGCTGTGCCACAAGAGACCCCAAGTGTACAGCAAGGAGGTTCTCCTGTGTGTCTGCCTGTAACCCTAACCCTGACAACGGTGGGGCAAAGGACAGAATCTGGGGAAATTGCAGCAAGACATGTATCTCCCTAGCCACAGCGACCAGCCCAGATCTGGGCGCATGTTTGAAGGGAACCGCACTGCAAGTCGTTACAAACTTTCTAACCAAACCTGGTAACAAATGATACCATTTCCATTCGGGTGCTGCTTTCTCTCTAGACTGGGTGGGATGCACAGCCCCTCTGCAGAAGGATGACGTCAGCCCCCTGAGAGAGGCAACAAGACGATGCAGAAGATGCCCTGACCATCAAGCTGGCCTCGGCCTCCCTCGGACCTTCTCCATCCTTGCCCCCACTTGAACCATTTCTCAAGACCCCTTCCTTTCCTCTCGAGCTGGTTCAAGCTGAGTTTCCCCCACTTACGGCACTCAGTCTTGCCTTAGTCCTGAAAATGGCATCCCTCCCCCGCCCCACCATCCCCAGAGGAATGAATGGATTTGGGTAGAGAATACAGCTGGCCCTGAGCACTCGGGAAACACGTGGTTTCTCCTAGTTGATTCTTCTTTCTGCAGGCTGGCCGCACTGCTTCTTCAAGTCACCACAGAACACCTTGCAGGGCAGACTGCTGGGCCTCTCAGCATTCTCCCAGGCAGCCCTGCTTCCTGTCAGTCAGCCCCACCCCTAGGCTTGCTCCAGCAGGCCCAGCTTTGAGGAGGGGGGCAAGTAGGGGCAACCGTCAACAAGGGATACATTCTGGGCTGCTGGACTGTTATCAGCTAAGCCGGGGCCCTGACTCACCTGCCTCTGTGGGCAGGCGGTGGGTGTGGGTGGTGTTTGATTTGCCTTGAGGCCTCCCTTTGCCAGGACCTGTGAGCGGAGGTGGACTCTCCCTCAACAACAAAGGTCCATTGTTCTCCTCCCCTCTGCCATCGGCTCTTTCCAGGACTTCCCTGAGCGCGCTTTTGTGTCTGGTCCTCCTCTCTCTGGCCCCCATCCCCATGCTCCCCTCACCAGCAGCTAGGGTTGGTGGCTGGTGAAGGCAGGAGATACCCAAGGGGTGGACATCCTCCAGTGCAGTCAGAGGAAACATCTGAGCCCACGACTTTGGGGCTCCCCACTTCCTTGAAGCCTCCCCAGGTCCCCTCCACCTGCTGCAGACAGCAACCAGGCTGTCCTGGGATTGTGCTACCATGCGTTGGTCAGCTTTGGGACTGTCTGGGAGGTGGGGTACGTACTGCAACCTCTTTTCTCTTTGGGTTTTTTTTTTATTTTAAGCCATGATCGGTGTGGCTGCATCTTTTAAACTCCAATTACAGCTTCTATGGGCTTGCTTTGCAGTACTTTTTTTTTTAAGTCTGCCTCTGCTGCCTCAAAGAGCCTTTGCCAGTGTGCTCTGTCTAGCTGACAGAGGTGAAGCCAAGGCTGCTCCCATCTCCAGGAAAGAGCAAACCAAGAGTCAGAAAAATAGAGTGATTCCAACTTCTTAGTCTTTGAAAAGCACTTGGAAGTTTCCTCCCGAATGCCCTTCCTATCTCCCCATATGCTTGAGAAAAAGCCAGGCACCAGCATCAAAACCAAGCAGACTTTTCCAGACTCAAGTCGTTTTCCCAGTCCCACATACTGGCCTTGTAGTGGAGTTGTTTTCTCTTTTCTTGTGTAGATGTGAGAAAAGTCCAGTTTGTCCATGGCTCAGACAGACATTCAGGGCCTGGCCTAAAAAATGGAGGCCTAGTCAAATACTGAGTGATTTTCTTGGTGTGTGTGTGTGTGTGATGGTGTGTATGTGCGTGTGTGTGTGTGTGTGTGTGTGTGTGTGATGGTGTGCATGTGCATGTGTGTGTGTGATGGTGTGTATGTGCATGTGTGTGTGATAGTGTGTATGTGCATGTGTGTGTGATGGTGTGTATGTGCATGTGTATGATGGTGTGTATGTGCATGTGTGTATGTGTGTGTGTGTGTGTGTGAGTGAGAGAGAGAGGGGGAGGGAAGGAGGGAACGCTGTGTTTGTTTAAATTTCTGAGACCTGGCATTTTGTAGTCCCTAGCCTTGAACTCACTGTATTGCCAAGGATGACTTGAACTTTGGATCCTGTTGCTTCCGCCTCCTGAATGGCAGAATCACGCCACTAGCCACACTCAGTTCTGGCAATCAAGCGAAGGTGTGCCTACTAGGCAAGCCCTCTGCTGATCGAGACTCATTACCCTGAGTCCCCATCCCATCAGCTTCTTGCCTGGAATGCGGACCCAGTTTCCAGAAAAAAATTCTAAATCCACCTGTGGGTTGGGCCGGCATGATCACAGACATCCAAAGGAGAGCTGGTGAAGCAGGGTTACTAAAGCAATGCTGAGGGCACACAGGGCAGGGAGGGAGGATACAAGGGGGCTGGGCAGAGCAGGGGATGGCGAGGCAGGTCTGTTGGCAGCCATGAGCACTCTCTACATGTGAGCGCGGCCCTATGGAAACTCGGCTGTGCCATGGGAAGCCAGGCAGGCGATAACACCATAGCCCACCGAACAAATACTTGCTTTCTGCCAGTTCCAATTCTGACCTGGAGGAAACGATCTCTGCCTGGGGAGATGAGGGAATAGCCAGAGAGGACACCCGCTGACACCACTTCATCTCCTCTGGGAAGTTCAGCTGTGACCCCAGCCTGCTCCCCCAACCACACAAATAAAATCTCTTTAGACCCTGCCCAAGCCTCTTAGAGATTTGCTGTTGCTGTACTAACTGCTCGTTTCTTGCAGTGAGGTCATCTGGCCCGATTTTCTCCATCACCTTACGTTGTCAGTGGCTCAGCATGCCGCATAGAGATGGCTTCCGCCTGACGTTGGGCACCGAGTAGTCTGTCTCACTTAGTCACCCTGACACAAAATGTCAAGGTCTGCAGCCTCCTGGGGACACTGAGGCTGAGGGCAGGCCCAGGGCTGCCGCTGGTAGTCGCCGTTGAGTTAACACCAGAATCCAAGTCCATCTGTCGTATTCCCAGGTCCCGGCACTCACTCCCCTTGAACACGCATAAGGAGATGGGAGTGGAACCTGCAAGGCGACATGTGAGGGTTACAACAGGAGCTATAACAAACCAAGTCAGAGATCCAGTGACGGCAGAGAGAGGGGCTGGGTCCCTAGTGCCACCAGAAACCAGCCCAAGAGGGAGGGAGGGGATAGGAGACACCAGCACGGGTGCCCTATGTGTTAGAGGTGAAGCCTTGTCACAGACTGGGAGGAGTGTGCGGTGCAGCCATGCTGGGGCCTCTTCTCTGTGTCAGGAACACTAGCAGAGGCCACTGCTTGAGTGGGGTGGGTCTAGGTCTGGAAGAAGCCTGGGGGAGACCTTTTCATGAAGACTCTCTCCTTCTGCACTGGAATGGAAGCTGCAGAAAAAAACCACATTCATGGACGGGGAGAAGCAGCAACATGGAGCCTGGGGTCTGACCTGGTGGATCCCCTTCACTCCCTCCAGCCTCCAGCTGAGCTCAGTTCAGCATCTGCAGAGTCCGGGTGCAGCTCCTGGCTCTACCAGCAGAGGGCTCCAGAGCAGAGGACTAGAGGGCTTGGGGGCAGGGCACGTGGTACACAGCTCTCTACCCTTGTTCGCAGATGTCCCCAAGCATAGGTGTGTCTGTGCGTGTGTGCACCCTTGTGAGTGGATATAAAATGAGTGTGTCTGTGTTCGTGGGCGTGAGTCTACAAACAAGACCATGATTGCTGGGCTGTGTTGAAGCACCCTGTTTGCACATGCAGGCACCTTGCAGAGCCCAGGGAATAAGGGAGTGTGCATTGGATGTCTGCATAACTTTATGCATAGATGGGCATGCTTGAGCTTGTGAGCAAAGAGGAAAAAATAAATAACGCAAGCTAGGTGTGGCATGCACACCTGCAATCATAGCACCCCGAAGGAAGAAGCGGAAGGGTTGCCCATGATTTCAAGAAGCCTGCCTGGTCTACGGGTCCAGACCCTCCCTGAAAACGAAGGAGAAGCTGAAGTGTGTTATGGTGGTGCACACCTTTAATCCTAGCAGTCAGGAGGCAGAGGCAGGCGGATCTCTGAGTTTGGGCCAAGGTTATATTGTGAGACCTTAGTCCCAAAAAAGGGGGGCTTGGGGGGAAACAAAGGAAAGTGACTGGTCAGAGGAGGATTTTGGTATCTCAGCACTGCCCCTGAGTTTGTCCATTAAAACCCCTTTGTCAGCGGGTGCTACTGATGGCCAGAGCTCTGGGTCTATTCTGATTCCATTTGCAATCTGTAGACCTTGTTTGGTTTTTGTTTTGTTTTTGTTTTTTCCTTTTTTAATTTTACAAGACAGGGTTTCCCCGAAGCTTGGAGGCTGTCCCGAGGCCTTGTTTTTTTGTGGGAGAAGGGTAGGCAGGAAGAAAGCATATGCCTAGTAGTGGCTAGTTCTTCCATAGAGGACTGTCGGCTGCAGCTGTCAGGCAAAGCCCGGGCTACTTCTGGAAGCCCCAGCTGTGGACGGCAACTTCTCTGACCCATGTTGGAACTTCACTGGGGCTGAGGGGGCAGGTCAGCCCGTGGTCGTGAGCAGGCCTGATCTGAGGAAGTGAAGCAGACTGTGTTCATTTCCAATGCTTCCATAACAAACCGCACGGAGAGGCTTATAACTCATCACAGAGCCCCTGGGGCCAACTCCTAAGAGTAGCATCCGTGGACTCAACTTACGGGTGTTTGGGGCTGGCTGTACGGAAGCAAAGGCCCGCTTGCCTTTTCCTGGTTCTAGAACCTACTCCTGCCTTCCAGTCAGCCACAGCCAGCACTTTCACATCCCTCCCTGCCCCTGTACTTGCTGCCCTCTCTTCTGAGGAACGTCGTGACAACAGAGACCCCCACATCATCCTGACTCCTCCTGTCTGTAGAGCGCTGGTGTAATTACACATGCAAAGTCCCTCTGCCTGTGAGGTGACATGTGCACAGGTTCTGGGGGCTGGGATATGTACATCTTTCAGGTAGGGTACATTTTTCTGAGTCTCAAAAAGAATGGCTGGCAGAAGGGGCTGGCTCTTTTGTTCTTTTCCTTCCAGTTTTTTTTTCCTTCTTTCAGCTAATAGGTACTGAACCGAAGACCTGATACATGCTAGACATGAGCTCTACCACCTAGCCTTGATGCTGAACTAGTCTCGATAAGTTAGTTGCTTAAGCTAGTCTTGGACTCACCTCCAGTAGACCAGGCTGGCCTTGAATTTGAAATTTTCCTACCTCAGCCTCCTAAGTAGCTGGGGTTCCAGGGCTATACTAGCAGGCCCTACTGGGGGGTGTGGAGGGCCATTCTTTTTGGATTTAGTTTTTAAACGTTTAATTGTGTGTCTGTGTGTCTGTGTGTGTGTGTGTGTGTGTGTGTGTGTGTGTGTGTGTTGGGGTATGAGAATGTGAGTGAAGTTGACCACAGACACTTGAGGAGGACATCTGATCCCGTGGACCTGGAGTTACATGTGGTTGTGAGCTACCTGACGTGTGTGCTGGGAACCCAACTCAAGACCTCGGCAAGAGCAGTACTGGCTCTTAACCACTGAGCCATCTCTCCAGCCCCACGACATTCTTTTTTATTTTTTATTTTTTCTTTCTTCTGGGTTTTTTGAGGCAGGGTTTCTCTGTGTCTTTGGAGGCTGTCCTAGAACTCACTCTTGTAGACCAGGCTGGTCTCGAACTCACAGAGATCCGCCTGCCTCTGCCTCCTGAGTGCTGGGATTAAAGGCGTGAGTCACCCCCCCGTGCCCCAAGACATTCTATAGTTTTACTGAGACACCCATGAGGACAAGCTCCCCATCTGAGGGTTCTTTTCCTCGCTGAGGACCCTCTGACCCTGGCAGCGCCATGCTGGGAACTGAGCTCTAGGAAATAGCTCTGGCTGGTGAGGAGCCTGCTCTCCATCTTGCTCTCCAGAAGCCAGGGGTCAAGAACTCATTATTAGTGGGAATTGATCCCTGAGTCCCTCTCCTCCCCTCACCCCTCCCAGCCCACTCCATACCCAGCCCCTGACCAGGCCTGGGTCTTAGGGATGCTCTTTGGGGGCTTTCCATCAGCTCTCCTTTGGTCCCTGTGTCCTGCTATACCAGGCCGCCTTTTGACGATGAAGCTATATCCTGCCAGCTTCAGCCCTCTTCGTGTGGGTGAAACCACACCCATGGGCTCCCCGTGGAAGCACGAGGAAGGGGGCATGCATGACAGCATAGGTCAGCAGGGGGGGGCACCAAGGAGACTCCCAGTGTTCCAGATGCCTTCTAAAGCCAGGCTCCAAAGCGAGGCTCCGCAGCCCAGTCCGCACCACATCTGGAAGCAGGCTGGAAATTCCAACCAGGCTCCCCTGCTAGGAAATGTGTCAAATCTTCCCAAAGATTTCATGGATGTAGGAAACGCTGGAGAGGGGGGCTGGCTCCGCAGCACCCCAAGAGCGCTGGAGAAATCCAGATGTCGCCGGGAGTCCACAGTCCTCAGCCCTGCCCTCAGCTTTGCTCCCCCCCCCCCCAAGAAAATTAAAGACGCCTGGAGCGAATGACAGAGCCTGTGTCTCCCTGGGACCCACAAGTCCCTGTGTGCGTGTGAAACACCGAGTTCTTCATAGATGCGAGTTATTTTTTCCTGGAGAGAAAAATGTTGACATGCCTTTGGAAGGTCATCCGCCCAGAAAATCCCCTGATGCTTGAAGAGGGCATGGTCTCTCTTCTCTCTGACACACGCACATATCTCCCAGAGGCCCCAGCTCATCCGCCCCAGCACACTGGCTCCTTCATCACTCCTTGTCCAGCTCATCCGTTTCTCAAAGCTGGGGTCACTGAGCAGGACTGGTCCCTGGCTCCTTCATATCTCGCAGGTGTAACTAACTCTCCAGTAATTGCCATAGCCACAGAGCAAATAACTGCAAACAGCACTTGTCCCCCTCTAGTTCTGTAGGCTAGAAGTTCAAACGCCATGTCATCAGGCTAAAGTCAGACATCTACAGACTGGCGCCCCCTGGAGGCTCGGGGAAGTTCGCTTCCTTGCCTTTGCTAGTGTCTAATAGATGCTTACCTCCCTTGGCCTGTAGCCCCTTCCTCCACCTTCAAAGAACACCCCCTGTCTCTGCTCCCTTTGTGATGTCGTCTTCTCTAATTCTAACTCGTCTTATAAGGTCTCTTGTGATTAGAATAGACCTGCCTCAGCAATCGCCATCTCGAGATCTATAACTTGACCACACCCCCAGAGCCCCTGCTGCTCTATGAAGATAGCAGGTTCATTCACGGGTTGTGAGGTTGGGGCTCACCGTTCAGTCTTCTGCCGCAGAGGCCCCTCCCTGGGCATCGATTTCTCACTTGTTGCTTCAGAGTAGGTCTTCCGGTTCTGACGCACCTGGAACCTCTTGTCTTATTGAACCTGAATTGGGCTTGGCCTCTCTGCCCTGCTCAGAGCGGTCTGTGAAACCCACATTGCCTTCTTCCCATCGTCAGAAGCAAGGCTTCTCCACCCTGTGTTCCGCACCAGGAGGCCACGCCCACCGTGGGGTTCTCAGCCTACACCTGAGCAACATCCTCCGCCCATGGAGAGTTTACTGGAACCCAGTGTAGTTTAGGATCTCAGTACTAACTTTCCTCAGGGCTGGGTCTCACTGACCCATCCATCATTTTGGAAGGAGAATCTTGGACCCTGGTGGATGAGGCTGGAGAGGTGGTGAAGACAGGTGTGCAGGGGAGGGAAGGGAGGGGTGTGGACCACCCCCCACCCCACCCTCCACCCCCGCTTAACGCCATTCTCAGTGCCTCCATCTCCTGGAGCTCAGCTATCCGGGCCAACCTGGCCTCCTCAGCACTGTACTGACACTGTTGCCTGGAGAACCAAAGAGCCTTCGGAAGCCAGGAGAGCTGCTAAGGTCCCCGAAGGGCTGGGAGGTGGGTGGTGATGCTGCACTTTAAGCCTAGAAACACTAGAACTTGTGACGGGGATCGTCCTTCTGTATATGTGTTTCTCTTATTGGTTGATGAATAAAACCCTGTTTGGCCAATGGAGGCAGGAAGACAGGCGGGACTAGGAGACGAGGAGAATTCTGGGAAAGGTAGACCGGGAGAGACTGAGAGGAGATGCCACGTAGAGACCGGGAGGATTGGATGCATCAGGTGTTCTCTGGTAAGATAAGGCCATGTAGAAATACATAGATTAGTAGTTATGGGTTAATAATTAAGATAGAGCTAGCCAATAAGAAGCCCTAGCCATCAGCCAACAGTTTTATAATTAATATGAGTCTTTGTGTGTTTATTTGGGGTTAAATGGCTGAGGGACCACTCTGGAAAGAAAAACGCTAGCAACCAACTTGGAAGCCATTGTCCGTGAGGGGATGCAGCCATGGGTTAGCCTATGGTGTTTCTACTTCCTGGTTTCTCCCCCACTCTGTCATCTCTGACTCAGCGGCCACCTCCTGCAGAAATGTCCCATCAAGTCTAAGGGAGCTAAATCCCCTATCGATGCTCCCTCTGCTCGAGACAGGGACCCTGCCTTGGATGGCTTAGAGTAGGAGAGGGGCAGTGTCGAAGGAGATAGCCCCACACTCTGCTCAGCCTGCCCTCTAAAAGGACCTCTCTCACTGTATGAGATGGCTGGCTTTAAAATCGGCTTGCCACAGCCTAAGCCCATCTGAGAAGAGGGTCTCAGTTGAGAAGCTATGGTGGTCAGGTTGGCCAGTGGGGGGGGGGGAGACACGGACACTACAGACAGACTGTCTTTAGTGATTGAGGCGGGAAGACCCTGCCTGAATGCAGATGGTGCTATTTCACAAGCTGGACCCTGAGTTCAGTGAAGAACAGCGACAGCCAGCAGGCAAGGATGCTGTGTTTACTCCCTCACCACTCTTGACTGTGGATGTGGTACCCTAAGTTCTGGCCTGGACTTCCCTGCGGTAACAGACTGTAGCCTGGAATTGCAAGCCAAGTGAATCCTTTCCTCCCTAAATTGCTTTTTGAATTTTCTTAGTGACAGAAATGAGAATAAAACACTTTACCTCCAGCAACAGGGGATGTCCCCAAGTTAGCTAGCTTTCCACCATTGTGACAAAATACAAACAAACAAACAAAAGCTAAGCTAATCAGCTCAAACGAGGAGAGATTACCTGACTCAGGGCAGTTTTGGAAGGTCACCATCCATGTTGTTTTGACCTATTTGTGACAACATACAGGTCACCGCAGGGGTATGGGGCAGAAAAGGCTCCAGGGTGGTAGCCAGGAAACAAAGAGAGAAGTATCTCCCCTCAGGAGCATCAAAGACACACCCTCTCAAAGACAAACTTCTTCCGCCAGGTCTCACCCACTGAATGCTCTTGTAGGTGGAAGTTTTTGTCTCACCAGCCGTTCCCAAGTAACCACACAGAGGCTTGTATTAATTACAAGTGCTTGGCCGATAGCTCAGGCTTGTTGGTAGCTAGCTCTTACATTTAAATTAACCCGTATTTTTTATCTATGTTTTGTCACATGGTTTGGTACCTCCTCTCAGTACGGCGTGCCCCTCTTGTTTTTCTCTGCGGCTGCTTGTGACTCCAGACTCCGCCTCTTTTCTTCCCAGCATTCTCAGTGTGGTTCTCCCGCCTAAACTTATCCTGTGCAGCTATTGGCCAGTCAGCTTCTTTATTAAACCAATCACAGTGACATATACTCACACTTTCTTCAGTCTAGTGCCTAGGCTACCACTAGGTCCATGATACATAACTGTGACTTATCCATAAATGCCACCTCACGGAGTGCCTCCTGTGTGCCAGTAACTGCTGAATTCTGCCACCCTTCAGCCTGATGGGGCAGACATTTCTCTAGAGAGAGACCCTGTGCCAGGGTAGAGGTACCAGTGCAGTTAGGTAGAGAGAGAGAGTGTGTACTCAGGCATGCAGAGGCCAGAGACCATGGTGTGTGATATGTGTATGTGAGTACAGGCATTCACATGCCACAGTGCACCTGTGGAGATTGGAGGACAACTTTCTGGACTCTGTTCTCCTCTTACAGTCTGTGGACTCCAGGATAGTTGTACTTGAAAGCTTGTGGGCTAGCCTCCTGCCTCTGCCTCCCTCCTCAATAGAGGAAGGTTGGATTTCAGATGCATGCTACCACATCTGGCTTTTTCACTTAGGTTCCAGAGATCAAAAACTTGGGTTGTCAGGCTGTGTAACAAACACTTTTTTACTTGGTGGAATGACATTGCCAGTCCCCACCTTAATTTTTGAGACAGAGTCTCTCATTGGCTTAGAGCTCACCCATGTAGGCTAGATTGACAGATGCAAGGATGCACCCTCCCACACTGTTAGGAGGTGTGGCTTTGTTGGAGCAGTTATGTCACTAGGGGTGGGGCTTTGAGGTCTCAGAAGCTCAAGGCCGGCCAGTGTGTCACTGTTCACTTCCTGCTGCCTGCAGATCCAGATGTGGAACTCTCAGCTGCCTCTGCAGCACCATGTCTGCCTGCATGCTGCCATGCTTCCTACAGTGATGATTGTCGCACCTGCTGTGCGGCCTGCATCCGAGAATGTAGCGAGGTGGTCGGGATAGATGACACAGAGACCGGTCGGTTGCTTTAAGAAAACTTTATGCTTCCCAAGTCAGCTTAGGAGGAGACCCCAGTCCGCTTAGGAGAGCTCTCAGGAGAAGTCTCTGGCGAAATCTTTGGAGAAGTCTCTGGCGAAATCTCTGGAGAAGTCTCTCCAAGAAAAAAGAGCTTCCCTTTTTAAGGACTTTTGCCATCCATTTACATACCATTCTTTCCACTTCTTACCCTCCTGGCTGGTGGTTTAATCTCCGGCCCCAGAATCGGGGAGACACCACAGGGGGCAGGGACAGGAAGAGGCATCTAGCCGTAGGAGGTGTGAAAGGGATGGTATTTCAGTGAGCCAGCCCTTATCTGAGCCCTATCAAGCTTTAAAGCACTGAATTGTTTTCAGTAAACATTACATAGATGCCTGCTCCCAGGCCGAAGGGGAAGTGGGTTTCTGCTCAAGGTCTGGTGTCCCCACAGATGATGATAGACTAGCCTCCTAAAATTGTGAGCCAGGCCCAATGAAATGTTTTCCTTTATAGGAGTTGCCGTGGTCATGGTGTCTCTGCGTAGCAATAAAACCCCAACTAAGACACAATGCTTATACCGGAAGCATTTTACTGTTTGTTTGTGTAGCTCACCATGTAACCATAGGTAGCCTGGAAATCACTCTATAGAGTGGACTGACCTATAGGATTCATAGAGATCTTCCTGCCTCTACCTCCTGAAATTAAAGGCATACACCACTGCTCCCAGCCAGCTTCTGCTAGGGGTCACCCAGGCTGCCCCATCACCACAAAGTAAGAGTGTTGGAGGTGCCTTTAGTGCTCTGCAGTGGGGAGCTGGGAACATCTGGGACGGAGGATGCTCCAGACACCCCAAGGCAGGAAGTATTTGTGCTAATGTCACAGCCTGGCCACAGATTGGCCCAGTGCCTAATAGAGTGGTGGCATTTCACACGGGAGCTGAGAGAAAGGCCTGGGTTCCAACTCCGTGTCTCTTGGTTGTGTGTGTATGGTCATTTCCTCCTCAGCAAGTCAGGGACAATAATTGCCCCCCCTGGGGGCTGGAGAGAAGGCTCAGTGGTAAAGAGCACTGGTTGCTCTTCCAGAGGACCCGAGTTCAATTTCCAGCACCCACATGGAAGCTCACAACTGTCTGTAACTCCAGTTACAGGGATCCAACACAGAGACATAAATATGGGTAAAACAGCAGTGCACGTAAAAATAAAAATTAAAAAAAATATAGTAACTAGACACTTTCCCAGGTTCGTAAGGAAGATGAGACAAAGTCCCTGATGAAGGATAATATTAGTGATAAACATTACTCCCCCCTTCCTACTACTCCACCTGCTCAACCTCTGGAGTCAGGAACACAGCCCAATTAAAAAGAGTCACACAGCTCAAGATGCCCCCCCAGAAGACTCTAACTGATCCGGCAGCGACGCTATGCTTGCTAGTTTTATGTCTACTTGACACAAGCTAGAGTTACCCAAAAGGAGAGAGCCTCAGCTGAGAAAAGGCCTCCATAAGATCAGCTGTGAGGCATTTTCTTAATTAGTGATTGATATGGG